CCCGAACTAGATTAGCAACAACTGGCCAAATCCTGATAAATGGAACTCGTGACTGTCATAGGAGCAGTATCACACTGATGAGGTCCGAGTGGTTCATCTGGCAGTATCTCATGCTGTTGCTTCATCTTCAGCGCCAAGTTCTGGCTGCACCAGGTGCCTCGGCACTGGCGAAATTCCGATTTACGTTTACCAAATTTTACCACCTCAGAGGCACACTCCGCCTTCATTTAATATTCAGGGGCTTTCTTCGGACATGGTAGTCCTGCCCGCAAGCATTAAGGACGTACTGCCTCCACAGCTCAAAAATACCGCATAATAAGTAATTGAGAAAAAAGCGACCCGCTTGCGAGAGAGAAAGGCCCAGTGCACTGGCTAAGGCCACCTCCAACAAAAGAGATTTCGTCCGATCATGCTCTTTCTTCGGCTTACGTGAGGCACTTTGGGCTTTTTTCTACGGTTTTTTCTTCAATTTTGTGATTGCCATTCGTTATCTTATCAATAGCTTTTGAGCCGAAAAACTAACCATTCTTAAAAGCAGGGTGAGCCTTCAACCGATCAGCGACTTCGATGATCATTCAGGTTCCAGATGAAGTTTTTCTTGGCACATTAGTACCTCAGCAGGCTAGAAATATCATAGAGGGGGTGGCCATGGAGCTCAGTTGTAACAAACCCATGGCAAGAGGCCACATGGGAAGGGTTTAACCACAGAATTTGTCCTCTTTTTCCTCCTTCCAGACTATCCTTCTGGTTTCCGACCGTTCACATGACGATTTCCTAAGAAAGAAAGTCGCTTCTGGATCTCGCCGAGGTTTCACTTCAACGGACCTGTGAGAATGATTTCCATGGCACTTTATTTGGAAACTCCTTTTTTTTATTTGACGGAAAAGGCCTTTCGCTAGAAAAGTTCTATTAATTGACGGCTTGAGCGCGTCAGAGAACGTTCACTGTTCGGACGGAAACACGCACGAGTGTAAAAACCCCATGCATCAGTGCACGCTTTAGATTTTCAATGGGTGCACGCACACTGAAGAAAACCCATCAGACGGATAGATGAAAACACTCAACGATCACTAGGATCAGTAGTGCCAGCTGACGATGAAAAATGACCATTAGCAACTTTTTCCTTTGGCATGTCCGGCATTCATGTTATGTGAACGTGGAGAGAACTTGCGGAATTTATCGCCAAGAATTTTTCCACAGCAAATAACTTGAACGGGAGAAAAGTATGTGCTTCCTGGTAAACCATGGGCAAATGTTGCTTCTACCTCCACGTCAGCCAAGGGAACTCGACTACTTATTAAACTCAGAGGGGAGAGAAAAGGCGAGAGAAGCGGAGAGCGAAAGCGCTCTCTGGGTCTCTCACTTTCAAGACTAGTGGGGTACGTGTCTGATAACCATCAATCTCACGAGTACCCTGACTCACCTCGTATGCTGGAGAAAGCTCTGGCTTAGCTTAAAATATCAGCTCTT